ATGCTGTTGTAAATACTCCTGTTGTCTGCTGTGTTCAGACTCAAGTCCTGTGTGTGATGCCACATTCAGGACATTCAGTGTCCTTTTTTTAACAGAAGACCGTTGCTAGAAGCTGCAGCTAGACTGCAGAAGCATTATTTTTTTTGAGGATGGAACAACTTCATACACAGATATAGGGAGGCTAGACCTATACAATTCATTTATTTTGGTTTATAAATTATTGTCAAGACATTTATGTTATTGATTTCTGAAGCACTTTCTAAATAATAAAAAGAGAGTTCATATGTATTTACTGCATGTATGCATTGATGAAAAATAAGCCATGTGCAGTAATATAGAAAATTGAGGATGCAACGCATTGGTATGAATCGTGATGCATCGTGATGCATCGTGATGCATCGTGATGCATCGGGATATCGAATTGAATCGAATCGTTGACAGGATAATCGTAATCGAATCGTGAGACCAGTGAAGATGCACAGCCCTAGTGGACCTTGGTACATGGTTAAGTGGATGCACTAGAGTGGTACAGGAATAAGTCCTAAAACCATGTATGAGTTAGTATTCTTCCAATTCGGGTTCCCTCGTCTCAAAGACGGGGGAACGAAAGACACGGTTTTGAACGTGTTTGTTAGTGGTTAAAAGCCTGAAATATGGTCTGTGGTTAACACTAGGGCTGTGCAATTAATCGTATTTTAATCGCGATTACGATTATGGCTTGCGATGATTATGAAAACAGCATAATTGACAAAATACGATTATTTTGCTGGGTACGCTTTCGCCCCTCCCTAAAAGCCCACTCGGCCACGTGGGAGTGACATGTGTTGTGAGTGTTCAGCGCGAGCGAAGATGTCAGAACAAGAGCAGCAACTCGTTAAAAAGAAGGGTAAAACTATTTCCACTATTTGCAAGTACTTTGCCATTACATTTCACATCGCTAAAGATATGTGCCCAGTTAGCACTGTTAGCAACCAGGGCTTTAAGCAACTTGTCAACACATTGGACAAGCGTTACGCGATGCCGTCTCGGTATTATTTCAGCAGGTCTGCGCTGCCTGCACTATATGACAAATGCCGTGGGGAAGTTGAGAGAGATGTGGCTTCAGCTGACTACTTTGCTACCACAACGGACCTATGGTCTAGCCCAGGGGTGCCCAACCAGTCGATCGCGAGATGTGTCTAAAAATAGAACAACAATATTCTGTTTTATCGTTAATGTCCTGTAACATAATCTTTCTGTGCCAGAATAATGCACTTGAACGCATCAAAGCTTTGTGATTGGCCGGCGTCACCCCATGTTTCGGGGCGTGGCTGAGGGTCTTCAGTACAGGTGGCAATATTGTCACCTCATCTCTGAAACCAGACCATGTAAACAGGCTGTTGTTTCTTGCAAAAAATCTTTAAGAGATGACATGAGCAGCCCTACCAGCATTTGCCATGGTGGCCTAAACATTTTTATTTGGTCTTAAATTGTAGTTCAACATTTATTTCCTGTTACTTTTGGACCATGACGGTTGGCCAGCCTTCAACGTTTAACTGAGTGGAATATGTTGAATATGTTTTACCAAAATGTTGGCTATATGTTAAGGAGTTTTCAGTAGGTTGTGACAGTGCACTGCATCATATTTGATTTAATTTATTTTGGTCTAATTTATTTTTATTTATCATATTAATAATATATGTTTAGTATGGTTTTGGAAGTGCGCTCCAACATATTTGTTGATCTTGTTTATTGGTAAAATATTATTTGTTTTAAAGTTCAATAAATGGTCAATGAATAATCGTCAAAATAATCGTGATATCAATTATTGACCCAAATAATCGTGATTATGATTTTTGCCATAATCGCACAGCCCTAGTTAACACAACATAAAATATGTGAGAAAAGCTTCTATATGTAAACAATGGTAGTTGTGTAACAAGTGTCTATAAGGCTGCTAAAAGTAATCATTAGCTGCCTTTGGCGGTGGGGATGTGAAGTCATGTGACCGTGATGTAGTTCTTTATAGCCTGACGTTAGCTTTTTACGCTTCAAAAATCATAAATGTTGTGGCTTGCAAAATAAATTCATCACGGCCCCACTATTTACCCTTATACCCGAGATCAACATCGACACACTCTCTAACCAGGCCAGGAAGCAATCTGGGTAAAGTATCTTGCACTTTTGACATGTTGACCACAAGGGCTGGGAATCATACAACCGACCATGTGGACAAGCCCTCTTCCTCCTGAGTCACAGACCTTTGAGAGGAATCACTGGGATTGGCTTTCAGTTTATAATTACCGTATTTACCGTACTATAAGTCGCACCTGAGTATAAGTCGCTCTTATCAAAAAACGTGTCGTTAAGAGAAAAAAAACATATATACGTCGCATTTATCCACAGGATGGTGTCGGTCGCCACTGAAGCCCATGCTGTGTCGATTCATCACACAACATCCTGGAAAGTTACATGACACATCCTCCCCGTTCTAATTAGGGATGCTCCGATCGATCGGCCGCCGATCAATATCGGCCGATACTCACTCTGCCTATATATCAGTGCTCTCTAAAAATGCCGACCGCGAGAGCCGATCGCATGACGTAAAATTATGACATAAAATACATGACACTTTTCTCTGTGCGCGGCAAAACAATCTCGCCAAAATGGCTTCACCAGTCTGGCAGTATTTTAAGGTGTCCGAAAATGACAATAAAAACTTCAATAATGTACTTCATTTGAATGTGATAATTATGTTGGTTGTTGTTTGTGGAAGCGCCAGTGAATGAGCCCCATTAACTGAGTTTTAAACATCACTTTAAAATGGAAGATCCCCATAGATCCCCATAGCCCACTGGATCGGATCGGTATCGGCTGATACTGATTCCGGTGATCGGACCCAAAATTGGCGATCAGAGCATCCCTAGTTCTTATTATACATCCATGATCCTCCCGGTTGCCGTGACTTTTTTCTTCTTCGGTGGTACAGCAGTTTTCAGTTGTCACAATTGTATACAGTGCCATCTATTGGCTGGAGTTTGAACGCAGTCAGACAAAATTCAATATATAAGTCGCTTCGGAGTATAAATTGCAGGACCGGCCAGACAGGTAAAAAAAATGCGACTTATAGTCCGGAAAATACGGTAAGCAAATGAGTGCACAAGAAGAGAAACAGACGCGAGGAAAACAAGTAAAAACGTAAGGTGACGTCTGTCGGCTGAAAACATCTTAAAAATAAGACTGCCCAACATAAATCTGTGATATATTGTTGTTATAACAACATTTAAGTCTGATAAGGATTTTCTTTTTATTGTTTGAAAGGATTTAGAAAAAATAACTAACTGCAATTTTTCTGTACTGATTTCGCAAATGTGATAGGATTTCCGATATGAGAGGGAATGAAACATTGTTTACATTATCATTGAAAATATATTAAAATAATAAAGGCTTTTTCCTGCAGCAACACGATACTTTCTTCTGATATTTTCACACATTTGCATTGCTTTGTGTATTGCATCAGTTCATATTCCGGTTTAGATACAATTCTGAATAATTGTGCCACCCTAGACAGGAATAACAGGCTTCAGCAACAACAAATTAGCTCTCTTTGCATGGAAGTTATGATCTGATTGTGTCACAGTATGATCCCTGTGAAACTTCTACTGATGTCACCTCAATGTGTTTTCTCAGAGACTTCAGAGAACACACTGGAGTGACAGGACATGTTCCAGGTCACTGTGTGCATTCACTGTCTGTTTCTAGTAGCACCGCTAAAAAACACAATGCCCCCCCCCCCCCCCCTGTTTCCTCACACATTCCTGTGTTCACATTCTCTCCACAGCTCTGAACACACACTTCATCAAAAACACATCCTCGAGTCAGACAAGGTGAACCATAAACCAATGCCATGTGCTTCATCATTAATTATGAAATGTTCCTGTATTCATTTTACTGAGTGGGTTACCTATTGTTTACTAATGGATTATTACTTTTTATATATATAACATGTTATTTATATTTTAACCAAAGCTACTTACATACACTTCAATACAGTGCCTTCGGGAGAAATGTGGGGTTAAGTATCTTGCCCAAGGAGGACACATGTTGACATGGGGTGGGATCGAACCATTGACCCTGTGATAGATAGATAGATCAGTGCATACACCGTCTGAGCAATTAATTAATTTGATTGTTTTTGTTCCTCTTGCTTTTATCCCCTTATTGGAATCATAAAAGTATCATGTACACATACTGCATGTGTGGTAATATATTTTAAAAAGGTGTGCAAAGGCTAAACCCATGTCACAGTAGAAGCACGAAATACAGATATGAACATCATCGGGCCCCTTTAAAGCACTTGCTGTATTCTGTGTATACAAATAAAGCTTTATTAAAATGATCTTTATCATCATCATGTATATATCCTATTTAGTAGTAACAACAAGCTAACATTATATTATGTATATTTTTATATTGTTTTTTTTTCATTTTGTACTGTATAGATGTATATTTGTTATTTATATTAATGTGCAATGCCATTTGTACATGCTGCTGCAGCAAAATAATTGGGATCATTAAAGTATATTTAATGTAATCTAATTTTCATCATCATTACCTTCATCTTCCTCATCATCAATGCTAGCAAATGAAGCCCATCTAACAAACTAAGTAGAATGTCTTTGTGTTCAACAGCATAAATACTGCAGAAAACACCTCCGTATTACACTGTAATACCCACATTATGTAGGCTTTTGTGTGCTATATCACAGCTCCACACAACAACACACACTTCCTGCGGGCAACTATGCATTATGTAGAATCGACACAACATGCAAACAGCATCAGACCGACTCCAACACAAGAGTAAAAATAGCTTTTGTTGCCAAACCTCAGAGGCTCGCAGCGTTGCAACACGTAGCTGCAAACAGTAGCATGAAGCAAACAGCTGGAAGGCAGAAAACAGAGGAAAGGTCTGCATTGTTGGACTTTTTCAACTTTGAGGAGTTATGGAGTCTTCTTACCTTGTTGCAGCGTTCACTGCAGACGCTGCGGTTAGTCCCGTCTTTAGTGTTTACACCTTCAACTACGCTTCGGTAACTTCCAGGAACCCTTTAAAGTCTTTCTCTCGTTCTTCTCGATAAGTAGCGAAGACGACGCTGTTAAATAAAACCATTTTCTTTCACGTAGAATTCCGTGTTTGAGGTCGGACCATGGATAGGGCGCTGGTTGGAAACACACGGGTCCATGCTGAGACAAGAGCAGCCTCGATGTCAAGGGCGTGCCTGCGCCACAGCTAGTACATCCGGGGGCCATTTCAAAATAAAAGACGGCTGGGGGCACACTTGTTGCGCATAATGAAAAGTAGCAAGAGTTGAATGTTCCCCTTTTTGCGAACATTTAACGATGTTTTACGTTTTATAAGAACATTTTGAAGGGGAAATACTGAGAGTTTACTGAAGATACTCTTTTTAAATCGAATAAATCCTATAATGTGTACCACGCTAGCTACTCTCTAGCTGTTTTTATAGCAAATGAGGACCTCTTGTGGCCTACATCAGGAAAAGTGCAGGTTTTAAACTTTTTTTTGTAGTATGAATTCACAGTTTTATTTTCTTGTCTTTATTTGCAGTCAGATAGCATTTATATAACACTTTTTTATACAATCCACATCAGTTTGATCTATACACAGCTCAATCGTTTTAGATTGTTTCAGTATGATAACACATAACACATAGTCATAGTGGTGCCCTTGAGCAGGGCACCAGACAACCCCCCCCCCCACCCCCACTCCCGTTGCTGGGTTAAAAGCAGAGAACACATTTCACTGTGTGTGCTGTGTGCTCTGCATGTGTGACCATTAAAGGGTTTCATCCCTCCGATTATATTCTATAACCAAAGCACAAACAAAGAACATTAAAAAATTAAATTAAAAAAAAGCTGTGGTCTTGCCTGATGCTCACCTTATTACTTCTTTGACAGGATTGTTTATATCCACCTGGATTCATCTTCTTATTTATAGACACATGCATTTCCAAACATTTGGACTACCTACAGTTTGTTGTAAATGTATTATCTTGTTAATTTACACACAACATCTATTGCACGTCTGTCCGTCCTGGAGAGGGATCCTCCTCTGTTGCTCTCCCAGAGGTTTCTTCCATTTCCCCTTCAGAATCCATATTCTGTACAAACTGTCCACTGAGACAACATGTGTGGTATTGGGCTATATAAATAAGCTTTGATTACATTTTGATTGAAAACATTTGAAATAAATAAATGCTAAGCAAAAACAAGGGGTGTTTTCTGTTTTGAGAAAGAAAATACAGCTAAGGAAGTCCATCTCTGGGAAATATTTAGCTTCCACTTTTTCCAAGATTCCTCAAATTATTCTTATGATGCTTTGAAGAGAAAGGGATTCTTTCACCAGGAAGATTTGATGTATAATATCCTTCATTTACAGCTGAGATGTCCGGTTTAAGCCTTTTCCCTGTATTTCTTTCTTCTTCGCAGCTACACTCAGTATTCCAAAATCAGTTTTGGGTTTAGTGGGTAATGGGTATCAACTGTAGTAGCCCAGAACGTATAGTTAATTCCAATAAAAGGGGATCTTTTTTAGTCTCTAGTATAATGTCTTATTTTAAAGAATCTTACCACAGAAAATGATAAGTGAGGTAGAGACATACAAGAACTCATAGGAACACATTTAAACAGTTATTAACCTGTTAAGCCCGAAGGTCCCCGCCGGCGGGGACCCTGGGTCTTTTTTTCACGATACTGTGTCTCAGGGGATCTTAATATTTAAGAACCTATTAATGTGTTATACCAGATTAACGGAAATAATCTCAGCTAACTGCCGATACAAACCATGTTTACCAAAACAAAACACAAGTCTCACAAGAAGTATCTAAATTACCCCTGAGCGAAAAATGCTAACGGACATTGGCACAGAACTCAAGATAAAAGTACCCTTATTACTTATCATAGCTGCACATACAATATATCCGATTAAAGCTGAGACTCCATAGATTATGTAGGTATATAGTATCATCACTGAGTGATCCGGACTCGCGACAGGGGAAGCAAATACAGTCATCACAACACGTACCTTTACGAAGCTTCTAGGGAGATCGTCTCACAAGTAGCTGTCAATCTGATCAAAGTACGTGTTCAATGGCATTAAAATGAGAAAAAACACGGCTGAATCTGTTAATCCATAGGTTCTTAACGTCCATGTATAAAAAAATGATTGAATTTATAATCCATAATTCCATTTTTATGTAAACATCGGAGTGTAAATGCTAGCTGCTAATGGTAGCCACCACAGCTGCTTCCGGTCTCGGCAATGCAGCAGTCTCACACATACACATGACCAAATAAGGACTATGTGGGAGTTCCCCTCGATTCCATTGGCTCTGACTGTCAGAAAGAGATGTCACATGTCAAAATCGAGCAAGGGGGGCCAGAGATATGGAAAATCCACCCAAATGGCCCCAGAAGAGGGTTTTTTTTTGCTAAATCTGTCTAAAAAGGTCAAATATCACTTGTTTTGCATCAATCTTGATGCAGGGTACTTATTATATGTTGTACTTTGGATTCCTAAAGCTTTTAGTCTACTAACCCATCATCCAAGGTTAGTTTTCACTATAAGTACAAAATATTTTTTGGACGGACACTATAATTTACAGTTTTTTACCATGTTCAATCTGAATTTTCTTTAAAATAAAAAACATCTATATTGAATCTGACTTTTCTACATCCAACTCACAGGTTTATCATTACTTTGAGAAAAAAGATTATTAATTTAACCCTTTTAGAAGGGAAGATATGGTCATTTGTTCTGGGAATGTCATTTTCGAGCCTGAAACCTGAAAAACAGGCTCAGGGTTTAACAGGTTAATAGAGCCTTTTTTATTATTAAAACTAGGTAAGGTACATTTCAAAGTTCACTTTTTCAGGTTTAAACACAGCTCTTTACAGCCCAACAGTAAACAAAACCAAATACTTAATTGAATGTTGGATTTGACTTTTGACATTTCTGATTAAGCTGTATACCTGTTCACGTGCAGCAGAAATTAGAGCATTTCCCACTGTGGGAACACAAATGTTTATGTCATCTTATCTTATATTTATTAAGAATAAACTAAGATCACATTAGGCCTACACCAGAAACAAAGGGCACTTCTTTGTTGCATGGATAGCTTGTGTTGCATGTCCAAATAATGTAATAAAGTATCTGAATCTTATGGTTATGTATCAGGCTATGTTCATGATATTTCCAGTGTTTGACAATGATTATGCTTTTTCAATTAATTTGTTATAATTCCTCATTAAAGGTGGGGTAGGTCATTTTGGAGAAAGCAACTCGAGTGCGCTAGGATTTGAAAATACACAGCCGGAAGAAATCTGCCACTTCCTTACAGAGCCCCTCCTCCAACACACACGAATGCGCACATGACCAATGAGGGCACGAGAAAAGTTTGTGCACAGATGGAAGGCTGACAGGCAGGTAGGCCATCCAGTTACTTTAGCCGGGCCGGCTCAGATGATTGGTCGTGCTTTTTACAGTACTACGGCTTCCAGAGAAGACTTTTTTTATGGATTTTTTTGTCAAAGCACTTAAGATATTCATTGCTATCGGGATGTTAAGAGCATTCCATGAAATATAACAAAAAATGTATCTCGAGCCGGTTTCTCAAACTTACCTACCCCACCTGTAATGTGTATTTAATTTTTTTATACTAGATGTATAATTTAAAAGCAACCAAAATAATGGACTCACAGGCTCTGTTAACAAACAGAAGAAACCGATCAGGATACGTGACAAGTCTCCAACAATAATGACAGTTAAAAAAACGGGTTCATACTTTATATGAGCACAGGACTTTAAAAGTCTGATCTTTGATTTCACTGCATCCTAGCCCAAATCTACATATGCAGTATGAACACCAAACACATAAGAGTGCTTAAAACACATATTCCTAATATGAAATAAGTAGTCACAACAGAGTCATAAGTAGATACATTTAAATTGGTCTCACTTTATTTAGTAAATTCCATTAATATATTTTCTAAGTTATAAATTGAACAACTAACGAATTGCTGGAGGCGCTAATCGCCATATGTTTATCTACAGGTCGGCGCAGCCAATCCAGCCCCCTGGCATCAAGGATGAACATGTGTTTTCTGCTGACGTAAACCATTCAATACAAGGGTTTTCAATGCCACACTAGCTCTATGACAACCCTGTCTCCTAAAAATTACGTTCCCACAGAACTAAACTGCATTCTCAATTACGTTTAGCTAGAAACGTATTTTCTCCCACGTTACGTTTGTTATGAACGTATCTTAAATACGTTTATTTTCTACATATCTTTGCCATTTATTGTCTTGCTTAATAAGCAAGACAATTATAATAATGATAATAGTCATTTATAAATATAATTTTAGAGCACACATTTGAAATCGAGAATCGGGCTCGATATATGGTTAAATTAAAATCAGTAGGCGAGGCTGTAATTTGGCAAGCTGTTACTCTCATGAGCGAGGCAGAGCATAATAGTTTTAACATGCCAAAAAGCTGCTGTGTCGTTTATTGCACCTCAAACATTAAAACAAATCCAGAGTTACGTGTTTCTGTACTTCCTCTAAGAAGAAATGACAGTAAAAGAAGAGCTCTGTGGCTTCAGGCTCGATCGCCGTTGAAATGACAGCGTTGGTTTCCCCAAAAGTGGGCGGGGCTGTAAAGTGACGTAGATTTTACTCTCATCTATTATTCAAAACCATTCTATTTATTCTAACGTAAATTACATGCCAGTGTTTTATCTTTTTATTTATTTGTTTTTATTTTAAATCGTATAATGTCGGACTTTTTTCCCATCTGTGAGGAAAAGAAATGGGGCTTAGAGCATCAAAATACTGAAATCTGTATTTTGTAAAATATTTTCCTTCTAATTTGTTATTCTTTTCTAAATAACACACTGTTATTTACTCAACAATAACACACAATTATCCTTGTTTTTATTTATTCATTTAATTCTATAATCTTGGGCTTTTTAGCCGTAAATAAAGTCACCGGAAACAGACGGGACATTTCGAGCGATATACACCACAAACCCTCAAACTGATTACCCAAGATCCTTAGCTTGAAGCTCGTTGATTGGATGTTTTAGCCGCAATGCACGCTGGGATATGGTGTTAATAAGATATGATATCCGACAACGAAAAATAAAATAATACCTAATTCAGAGTGTTCTTGC